CACTCCCTAAACTCAAACACCAAATTCATTCCAGACTTCCTATGAGCCAGTCTTATCTCCTAGTCTTTGCATATGCTGTTCCCTCTTCCAGGAAGTCTATTCCCTATTCCTACTCACTTTGCTCATTCCACTCCCTCTTCCTCTGGAAGCCTCTCTGAGGGCCCTCTGCTTGGGATGGGTCCAGTGCCCCCTACAGGCTCTGCAACTGCCTCGATGTGCCCCAACACCACCCTGATAATTTTGAAGCTACCTAGCCACACACCTGTTTTCCCCACTGAACTGTGAGCCTAGAGAGGGTGGGAGTTAGGTCTGCCTTGGCCACTTTGTGTCCCCGGCACCCAACACAGGGCCTGGCACACAGTGGGTGCTTAATGAACACTTCTTGAGTGAATACATCTTATCACAGCTGGGGAAACTGAGGCACAGAGGGGGGACTGCTCTAGGAGTTCCACCTTCACTGAGGCTGTGGCAGGGAACTGAAGCCTCCCTGGGGGTCACACTGGAGAGCATGGGGACATTGAGGAAGGTGTCCTACCACCCTGAACCAGGCCTGAGTCATTCTCCAAAGCCAGAAGGCGACAGGTGGCACTGGGGCCCCTGAGCAGATGGGAAAACTGAGGCATCCAAGTGGGGGTGGGGCAGGGCCTGGGGAAGGCACAGCTGGCGCTCTGCTCAGTCACTAGCTCTCTCTCTGCCTCATCTCTTATTCTTCCTGTTTCTGTCCCAGTGTGTGTGTGTGTGTGTGTGTGTGTGTGTGTGTTGGGGGGGAGGGTCTCTCTGCATTTTGTTCTCTGTGCGTCCCTCTGTCTCTTTCATATGTATCTCTACATTTATTTTTCCCTCCATGTCTGTATCCCATCTCTCTCTACACTTCTCTTTCTCTGTGAGTGTGTCTCTCTCTGCATCCCTTTGTCTCTCTCCCTCTCTGTCCCCGTTCCCCACCCTCCCCTGTCCCTTTCCTCCATCTCCCCCTTGCCCTCTCTCTGTCCCTTTCGGGCAGGCGGGATGGAGTTGGCAGCAATGAGGCAGGTGTAGCCCGGGCTCTGTGCCCACTGCTGCTGGGGCCGCCCCGGATTTGTGGTTGCGCCTCCTTTATCTGGGGCTGCAGCTGCCCCTTATCTTCTGGCTTCAGGACACGAGATCGGGATTAGGGCAGCCTGGGGCCAAGGACATGAGATGGCAAGGCGGGCAGGCGGGTGACGAGAGCCAGGTGCCAGGGTGGATGTGCTGCAGGGCTGCTGTGTACATGAGTGTGTGTGTGTGTATGATGGTATGTACACATTTACAGCCGTGACTGCTGAGTATGAATGACTTCGGGGGATGTCTGTGTGTAACTCTATCTGTATGAATGTGCGTCTGTGAGTGTGTTTATGTGTCTATGAGTTTGTCTGTGTCTACTGTATGTCTGTGTGTGTGACTGTGTACATACTTGTGGCTTTTGCATGTGTGTCTGTGAGGGTGTGATGGTGTATGCACATTTGTTGCTGTCACTGCTGAGTATGAGTGACTTTGCGGTGTGTCTGTATGTCTTTTATATGCTTGTGTGTGTGTGTGTGTGTGTGTGTGTGTGACAGTGTACACATTTGTGGCTTTTGTGTGCAGGGGACGGGTCTGTGCCTCTGTGAGCCACGGAAGTCCCTTATCCTGTTCCCCACAGGTGCCCGCACAACCCCAGGCCCAGTTCCCACCTGGGTCCCTCTGGCCAGCCTAACCCAGAGCCCCAGAGGCAGAACTCTCAATATGTGACCTGTGGCTGTAAATGTCCCTGTAGGGACAGCCGCCAGTCCTGCTTTTCCCATCCTTGCTTAGAGCCAGCTGGCCCCTTCCTGCCGCCCACACGCCTTGAGGGCCCTCCCGGCTGAGGCCAGCCAGCTCCTCCGATGGCCCCTGAGACCCTTGCTCTGACCCCTGCAGGGAGTGCATGTCCAGCTGTGTCCCCTGTCAGCGCGCTGAGGCCTCTCTCCCTGCTCTTAGCGTCGTCCAGCTCTTGTCACATAGAAAGCCTGAAGCCTACTTTGGGGGAGCCCCTTGGGGAGTGAGACTACCCACCACCGAGGGCCTGTGCTGGGCACAAAACAAATGTGGGAGCCATTTCGCAGATGGGGAAACTGAAGTCCGGTAAGCTTGGTTACTACTATGTTGGGGAACGAGGCAATGTTTGATGGTGTGTGGAGATGCCAATGCTCCAGGTGGGGACAGCTGGGAGGACAGAGGACACAGAGGGCACTAGGCCACCTCCACCCCTGCAGGGCTGGTTCCTGGGGGCCCTGATGTGCAGCCCTGGGCCTGCGGGGCTTGAGCCATCTCCTGGCACTAACATGGAAACTTCCCCACCGACCAAGTCTATGTGTTGGCCAGCGGCCACCAGCCTCCCACAACCTCCGCCTGAGCCTCCACTCTCAAACAGAACACTCCCCTTGGAAGCAGTGACTGGCCAGGGAGGGCAAGGGGCCAGCTCCGGGGGACAGGGGTGAAGGAGTGGCCAGGGGCACTGGCTGAACGTTCTAGAGTCATCCAGCCCCAGGTTTGAGCCTCTTCTTTACTGTGTGACCTTGGGCCAGCATCTTGATGTCTCTGATCCTAGAGTTTCACAACTGTCAAGTGGGCACAAAGCAGGCTGGGGAGGAGAAGGCATTGCCTGGAGTTACCTGGGGGAGACATCACAAGAGGCTGTGAAGGAGAGAAGCTAATTCCTGGGCAAACATCACGGACAGGTGGCAGAGACTGGGTTCCAGCCATCCCTGCACTGTCCCACCTTGCCTCGACCTTGACCCTGGGGCCAGCAGGCTCGAATCAGCCAGAGGGGAGACCACAATCCCGACCCATGGGCTGCACTGTTAGTGTGAGAGGTTCAAGGCTCAGTTCCACCCACCCTGCCCTGCAGCAGTCTGTGTGGGACAAGGAAGGTTTAAAAATAAAGTATTGTAAATACTTGTGTTTCCTGCATATAGAACCACCCCTGAGTCCCCTCTGCCTCCTGGGCAGCAGGGCCCAGATAGTTCCTTTAGAGGGGTGGGGCTGGAGGCAGGATTGCCCACGTGTTTCCCAGTTTCTGGCTCAGTGTGAGTCAGTTGGTGTGACAGGGTATCTGTCTGTCACCGCCTGTCCAGGGGGTGACAAAGTGTGTGTGTTGGTGACAGAGAGTGGCCAGGGGTGCTGGGTTGTGTGAAGTGACACACTGGGACACCTGGGTCTCATGTGACCATACAGGGCTTGCCCCGAGCCGGGCTGGGTTTCTGGGGGCCTGAGTGTGACGGGTTGTCTTCCACATATGTTTGTATTAGTGTGTGTATCCCTCAGTATGACACACACACATCAATGGTGGAAGGTGGGCATGGGTCCTGGTGTCTCCACCTCCTGTCTGCTTTCCCACCCACCCTAGAGGAAGAACCAAGCCTTTCAAGTCGCTGTTGTCAGGGCAACCGTTTTATGAGCATCCACATGGTGGGCACATGTGCATGTCCTGTTCCCCATGTGTCTGCATGGCCCCGCCCCCAAGGCCCCCAGCCTCAGAGGGGAGGGGGGCATAGGCGGTGTGGGGTGAGCAGGAGGCAGCTGAGGGGCAGCTGGTGACAGCTTAATGTGGCTGGCCTAGTGGGGGTGGGCTCCTGGCAGGGCTTCGTGTGTGCAAGGGGTTGTGCCTCCTCCCAGACCAGCCCAGTGTGTGTGCACACATGAGTGTCTTCATGTTTCCGGTGCGTGTGTGGCTGTGGTGCTCTGAATAGTGTGTTTTTGTGTGAGCACTGTGTGTGTGCTAGTGTGTGTACCAGCACCAAGCAGCTTGGGAGAGTGTAACAATGTGCTAAGTGTGCATGCGTGTGCGCCAGCAACCCTGCTCTGCAGCCTGTAGCTACTCTGAGGGGCAGTGGGCTGGCTGATAGGTGTGTGAAGGTCATGTGTGTCTGTGTCTACAGGAAACTGTGCGTGTGTGTGTGTTAGGGGCAGTGTGAATTTCATGTCTGTGTGCATGAGTGTGTCTGAATGGGAGGGAAGTTAAGGACACCTGTGTGAATGTGACTGTCAGCACATAGGAGGAAGTGGGTGGCTGTGACCCATGTGTGTAAGAATGGGGCTTATCTCATAAGGGTGTACTGGTGTGAGAATGTGCATGGTGATAGGTGTGAACCTGCTTGAAACAAAGGTTTGGGGATCTGTGTGTGAATGGTCAACAGTGCCACACCCTTCCCTCCCTGAAGGTGTGCTTGTCCCTGGGAATGAGTACTTGGCAACACCAATAATGCAGGACACTTGGGCATTGCTCACCACATGCCTGGCACTCGTCCTTATCCTTACTCTCAGTCCTTAGTACAGCCCTATGAGGATCTGCTAATAACACAGATGCAGAAGCTGAGGCACGGAGAGACGAAGTATTGACCCAAAGCCACACAGCGCACAAACCCTTGTCCTTTCCATTCTGGACTGAAACCCCGCAGCAGGAGCGCTGCCACTTCTCTGACCCACGCTCACTCTGATACCTCCCCTCCACAAAGTCACATTCCCGCCTACACCCCGCTTGCACGTGCACCACGCAGAGCACATACCCAGCCATTACACACCCGCAAGAGCCCGTGTACAGCGGGTGAGTCTCCCCCATCACCGTGAACACTGCACAGTAGTGCAAGTTGTACAGGTCTCACGTGTGTGTGTGGGGGTGGGGTGGGGGGTGGAGAGCCCAATGCTCATACAAGCACCCCGGCTGCTGGGATCATTTGAATGCAGGTGGCCTGGGGAGAGTGAGGAGGCCTCAAGAAATCAGGCGGCGGCAGTGAGAAACGCGAGCACCGGGTCTCAGGAAACACAGGCGGTTGCTGGGACCGCGCAGGCTGGAGCCTGAGTGTGGGGGCCGAGGGCGGGGCTGCAAGGAGGTGTTTCTCGGTAACTAGGCCGAGGTGGGGCGGGGACACCGCGGTTTCAGCCCCGCCCACCCAGCCCCTCGATCCACCCCAGAGTCAGCTGGGGCCGCCAGGGGGCGCTTTGGGAACGCGGAGCCCTCCAGAGTGGTCCCAGTGGGTTTGGGCTCTCTGGCTGTTAGGGAGCAGCGCGGGGTCGCGGTGCCCAGAAGGGCGCCGTCGGGAGCCATGGGTGGGAAAGGGATCCTCCGCAGGGCTCTGAGGTCAGACTGGAGTGAACTGCTACTTGATGGGGCCGTTGTGGACAGCGGGTATCGTCGTTACTCTTAGGGTATCTCTTGCTGTTTTAGGGAAAATCTTCGCGTCTCAGGTCTCTGGAATGGCTTTCTCAGGAGAGGCTTCTTTAGCTTTCTGGAACGAGGATCTGGAGCGGGACTAGGGGCCCCCTCCCCAATCCTCAGTGGGGTGGGAGATTGTGGGCCGCGGTCACCGTCGTGGCGGGGGAGTATTGTGATTCTTAATTGCCTTGTGGGTCTGGGGGGCGTCTTGGGGCCCCGGATTTACCGAAGATGAGCCGTCTGAGTCCCTGGAGTGGAGATGGGAAACAGCTAATTGAAGGGGGTGCTGCTCTGGCAGTTTCCGTAAAGGGCTTCCTCGATGAGGGAACTTCTTGGGGCCTTGTTTTTCGAAAGGGGACCAGGAAGGACCCGGGGGTCTGGCAGTAAAGCCAGATCCTCAGCGCAGTAATGGGTGTTGAGTGGCGCTGAGTGGCGTCGGGGCGCTGCGGTTCTTATCCTAGGAGCGTCCCTTGGTGAGGGGGAGTCTTGGGGCCCCTGCTTTCCCACTGGAGCGCCGCCGGGCTCTCCCGGTCCGGGGAGATTGCCGTCTAGGGGGGCGCTGTGGCCCCGGCACCCCTGCCACCTGCGCTTCTCCTACCCCCTCGGGCGGGGGCGGGGCGGGGGCGGCTCCCGTCCCGGGAAACCCGAGCCACCGCCCTTGGCCCCGCCCCCGGGCCCCGCCCCCGGGCCCTCGCCGGCCGAGCTGTCCGCGGCGGGAGCGGCGGAGGCGGCGGGAGAGCGCGCGGTGGAGCCGCTCCGAGACCCGGGCTCCTCGCGCCGCCGCTCCGGAGCCCCGCACCGCGCACCGAGGCCGCCAGCGCCGTCCATTGCCCTCCGCGCCCTCCGAGTCGCCGGCTGTCCAGGGCACCCCCCCGGTCCCCGCCCCCGCCGGACAGGGATGGCCACAGCCCGCCGCTGAGCGAGCCCGGGGGGACCTCATGGGCCGGCTCGTGCCGCGTCCCCCCCGCGGCCGCCCCCTCCGGCCCGGGCTCCCCCGGGTGCCGCGGGTCCAGGCGGCCCGGATGGCGGTCGCGGCGGCAGGGGCAGGGGCTGGGGCCGGCGCGGGTGGCAGGCGCAGCCGCCACTGACGGGTAGTCAGGCGCCCCAGCAGGTAAGCAAGGGCGAATGGGGAGGCCCACAGGGGTTTGGGATGGGGCAGGATCAGCCCATGCACGGGGCCCTGGGGGCATTCCCGGGACTTGGGGTAGACCATTAGTTTTCCTCCTTGAGCTGAGAACCCGCGTGCATATGGAGTCAACAGGCGACAGGTCCGCGTGTGGCGGGGAGCGGGGTGGGGAGGGCGATCTTAAGCTCCTCTCCAAGTCAGGATCTGGCTTGGGAGGGTGGTTCCCTGTCCGACGGGGCGGGCGCGCCTCTGCCTCTTCCGACCGCCATGTGTGCGTCTGAAGAGGGGTGGGAGCGAGGGAGGGCAGCCGGAACCCTCACCGCAGCCTCTAGCAGGGCAAACCCCAGAGACTCCTTTTGCCTTGTGGTCTACAAGGGGCCTTAGGGGGCATCCGGATCCCGCAGACCCCGGGCGGGAAGCTGCCGTCGCGGCCCAGCTGCGCGCAGAAGTAAACATCTGTCAGTGGCGCGTTCCAGCCGCGTTCCCTGCGCGCCGCCGCCGCCGCCGGGGACACGGTGTCCTCCGGTAAGGGCCTGGCTCTCTTGGCTCCTGGAGCCGCCTGTTCAGCCACAAGAGGGCGCGAAACCATTTTCTTTGGGGTGGGGGGGTTCCCTTAAGGGCAAAAACCGGATTTGAAGGAGAGGGGGCTCTGCCTCCCTTTCTTGCTTTTTAAAAGAGTCATTCTCTTGCTCAGGATAGTCTCAAAATTCTCCCAGGAGGTGCGGTTTGGGGATCAGGGGTCATCAGGCTGAGGGCCTGCAAACAGTGGGCAGATTTGGCGTGGGACTGGAGAGAGAAATGGCCCCTCCCAGGGACTGCTGTCACAGCTGCCCCCTCCCCAGAAAGTATCAGCATGTACTGTGGTGCCACCGGCTCTGCTCAGTGGGCCTGTGGTTACCTGCAAGGCTGGGCCACCAGCCCAGATCCAGGGAGCAGGGCCAGGGACCTGGGAAGGGGTGCAGGAGGCTGGACCCCTGGCTTTCCTCATTCCTGCCGGCCTTCCCTGCCTTCTCCCTGCCCAACATCCTTCTCTCTGTGTTCCATGACACTCTTTGTCTGTCTTCAAGCGCCCCGGGCTGAGGAAGCCCCAATGGGGCGTGACTGGCCTAGGCGGATGTCAGTGGAGGGAAGACTCCCAGCTTTGCCAGCTTCTCCCCACCCCCTGCCCCTTGCTTTGGGGCCTTTTGGACACCCCTCCCAAATCCAGGACTCCTGAGATTCGGATTTCCAAAGCCACTCCTAGGCCTTCCAGCACATCATTGAGCTGCAAAGAGCTAGTTCTAGGGGTGCATAGAAGAAAACTAAACATTGCCCCTCTGCAGCTGGGCACTGTCTGAAATTCCACCATCAGCACTTGTCCCTCAAGTTTCAGGCCTCCGTTTTCAGGGAGGGAACAGAGGATATAAAGAGTCTAGGGAGGGAGAAGGAATCAAACAGTTTGTAGCCAGGCACAAGCACACAATCAAGAGATTGTTTAAAAAAAATGTTTGTTGGATAGCAACGGTACAGCTGACTGTTTGGTGTCAGGGCTCCTGAGCCCTGTCCTTCAAGGGCAACAGACTTAGACCCAGGGTGGAGCCCAGAGTGGGGAACAGAGGCTGTACCTCAGGGTAGGGTGGTCAGGGAAGACTTCCTGGGGGAGGGGCATTGGAGCTAAGGCTGTGAAGGATGAGTAGGAGTTTTCCGAGTGGGAAAAGGAAGGGCATTCCAGGTGGCAGAAAATGCATAGGCAAAGGTCTGGAGGCAGGAAAAAATAGGATGGCTGGCTTTGGCAAATCCAGGGTTCCAGGGTGAGTATAGGTAGGAGAGACTGTTCTGAAAAGTTGTCAGAGGGAGCAATGGGCTGGGGCATTCAAGGGCAGATTCCTGGAGGTGGAGACTGGAAATACAGAGGAGAGGAATGGGCCTTTAAGGCATCTGGTATCACTGGGCCTGGCCATCTTTGCTGAGGGGCTGTGGGAGTCCTCTGCAGATATATCTTTCCTGGTCTCAAAAGGTGGGGCAGAGGACCTTGGGCAGTAAGAAATTAGAGGAGGGGCCTCCACTAGCAGCAGGGGGATCTCACTTCCCAGTTGGCGAAACTGAGGCCCAGAGGGAGGACATCATTGGTACCTAAATAGCTTAATGTTTCTGGGACCTGAGGCAACATTTGAACTTGGGGAGATGGAAGAGGTGACTCAGTGCCCTGGTTCCCACGAAACCAGTGTTAGGGTTTGAGCTGTGCCTGGGGTCTGTGCCTTGGTTTCCCTTCCTGTCAAATGGCCAGCTTTGTGTGGTGTCGTCCTGGCAACTCCCAGAGGACCCACATCCCTCACACCACCCGCTCGGCCCCAAGCCAGCTGTTCAGCTATGCCAGGCCTCATTAGGCTGATCCTGTTATCCCACCCCAGGGAGCCCCCTCCTGCCCACCCCAGATGCCTGCAGGGCCAGCCCCAGACCAGCCTCTTGTGGTCAAGGTGGGAATTTTACGGGCCAGAAGCAGAGGGCTGGGCCAGAAACAGTGGGTCCGAAAAGCTGGTGGACCTCACACACACACACACACACACACACACACACACACACACGCACGCACGCACACACACTTCCCCGTCCAGCCTCCCCAAGAACACGCCTGTGCAGTGGCGGGTGCAGGAAGAGGGCTCCAGGCACTGATGGGGAATGGAGGACTGACCTTGTGGGTCACAAGGCCCCTGTGACCTCTCCTACATCTCCTTGTACTGTCCCTCGCTCTGTTGCTCCCGTCATAGTGGCCACCTTGAACAGGCAGTTTCCTCCACCTAGAATGCTCTCTCCAGATCTTCACTTGGTCTCAGCTCAAATGCTGCCTCCTATGAGAAACACTCCTTGACCACTCAACCTCAAATCAGCCCCCAGTCACTATTGCTTCACCTCATTTTATTCTTTGGTTGTTTTTGCACTGTCAACATCTAAATTACCATATTTCTTATTTATCATCCATTTCCCTGATTGGACAATGAGTTGGCAAGAGTGGGGCCCAGGTTGGCCTTGCCATCCCGAGTTCCCTGCCTGGCACAGCACACAGTAGGTGCTCAATAAGTGTTTGCTGAGTTAATGTGTTGGGAGCAGATCAGCCTGGCTGTCTGGGCTTCCTACCATTTGGCCCTTTATTTACTTGCTAGTTCTGCTCTGCTGTGTGTCTTTGAGGAAACCTCTTACTTCTCTGGAGCTTAGCCCCACTTTCCTGGCAAACAGCAGAGCCTATTACACCCTCCCTAGACCTCCCCTCGCCCTCAGAATTACCCCTGTTACTCAGAGCCCAAGAGTTGTGGAGGCATTTAGAGAAAGCGTCTGGAGTCAGACCCAGGTTCAACCAGAGCTCAGCCACTTGTTGGAGCAAGTCACTCTACCTTTCCAAGCCTCAGTTTCCCTGTGTGGAAAACGGGGCTAATAATAATAACAACATCTTTTTCAGGGACTGCGGGGACAATTAAACATGCAGAAAGCACTTAGCACAGTGCTTGGCACTAAATAAATGGAATAGCCAATATTTCCAGGTGTTAAAGTTACTGTTGTTGTTGTTACAGAGGCCACATGGTACAGTGGTTAATGTGGAGGTGAGGGTGTTGGGGCTGGGGCTTTGAGGGATGAATAGGGGTTTGCCCAACCACTTGAATTCAAATTCCAGCTTGGCCACTTATGCTCTGTTTGACCCTGAGCAAGTCACTTTACTTCTTTGGACCTCAGTTTTCCCATCTACAAAATGGGGATAAAATAGTCCATAGCTTGCTATGAGTCGTACACCAGTGGTGGTGTTCACTAGAGTCTGTATTAGCTATTATTATTTTACTATTACAACCAGCACAATTGTCCCCAGAAGTCACTCTGTCTGTCCAGCCCTCAGCTGCACTTTGGTGAAGGCAGGCCTAGCACCCCTTAAGACAAGCTCAGGAGCCGAGTCTTGATTCTCACAGAGTAGCAAGGAGCCAGCAACGGTGCTAGCAGTTGGGCAGCAGACAGCTTCCGAGTTGGGGAAAGAAGAGGAGAGTCTAGGCCCCCACCTCTGGCCAGGCCTGGAAGGGTCGGAGGGGGTGTCTCTGACTGTGCCCTCCCGTGAAGCTGTCCCACGAGCTGGGACCTGGCCCCTGCAGATGTGGCATCACAACCAGCTGTGCTAGCCAGATGTTCCTGGTTTACCCCCAGATGTGCATCGCCAGCTCGCAGTTGCCCTGGTCTCCCCGTCCCCACAAAGGGGTGGGGCTGGGCTCTGGGGCCCTCCGAGGGAGGGGGCACATTTTTGTGGGCTGTGGAATTTGTTTCTTGTTTTGCAGAACCATTGAATCTTGCCTTGAGAGAGGCCCAGGTCCTGCCTGTCATGGGGCCTCAGTTTCCCCATCAGTGGAACCCCAGGGAACCCCTTGGGGAAAGGAGACAAGCAGGGCTGCTCTAGGAACAGGTCCAGTTACCAGCCCTGGGGCTGTCAGCACTGATGGCGGAAGTAGAGGCATGGGTGTGCAAGCACATGTGTCTGAGGGCCGGGCTCAGCAGCTACCATCAGCCCAGTCTGCAGGACTTCACTGAATTAAATGGCCCTCCAAATGAAGGAGGGTATCCTGGGCAGTCTGTTGTACAGATGGGGAAACTGAGGCTCAGAGAGGGGCAGGAGCACATGTTATTCCACCAGGAAGAGGCAGAGCAGGGATCCAAACTCAGTTGTTTGGAACCCACGTGCTGCAGCATTCACAGACACACACCCTTCCTCGAGGGTGCAGGCCACCCCCACGTCTGCCCATGTGGCTTCACAGCCTGGGCTCACTCTGCCTGTGGGCAGTGATGACAGCCCCACCAGCCACCCAGTCAAGCTCTCTCGTGTCCTCCCTGGAATTCCCACGGTGCTGGGCAGCCTCCTTCAGAGACTTTCTGAAGATGGGTAAACCAAGTTACGAGACCAGGACATGTCGAGGAGTAAGGTGGAGAGGAAGGAGAAGGGTACAGGAGGAGGGAGGAACCACAGAGCAAAAATGTGAAGACTGGGGAGCTGCAGCCAGGTCATGCCTCTGTGAACAGAATTATTGCGATAATCCAGCTCCGGCTGCCTCTCCAGAAACCCCCAATCCAGAAAAGTCAGATGTGGACATAAACACCATGCTGCAGGGCTGGGCAAGAAAGAAGGACCTGTGGCCAGGGTGCTAATATAGGGAGCAGTGAACACTACCTGAAGGAGAGGCTTTGAAGGATGAGTAGGAGTTTGCCCAATGGGCAGGCCCCAATTCCAGGCCTCCCCGACACTAGAGGGATGAGTGGATCGAGGGAGGAGGAGTCCTCTCTTGTTTTCCCTCTCCCTGGGAACAAGCATGAAGCATGTGCCTTCCTGAGGCCAGGAGCTCTGCAGGACAGAGGCTGTTAACCTTGGGAACAGGTATGCCTGGTGGGTGTCCCCTGGGAAGCTCTGTGAAAAGGTGGAGCCCCAGGGCGTTGCCTGGGTACCAGGATAATGAGCAGCATTACCTGGCACCACCAAGGAAGCTGCCAGAAACACCCACACACCCTCACCCTGACTGTCTGCTCCTTGGATGATTGGAAGGACCTGCCTGGCTGTGTGACTTGAAGCTATTCATCACCTCTTTCTGAGCCTCAGTTTCCCCTCCCTCCCCGCCCTAGCCCTGGGGATTCTGTGGCCTCCAGCTAGAGTCGTACACCAGTGGTGTTGTTCGCTAGAGGTGGAGGTCTACCCTCCATCCCTCTTGCTGTAATTCAGACTGGCTTGGCCTCCAAGAAGGGAGAATGCTCCCTTGCCCCGGCAGTGAGGACTCTCCAGGGTTTGGACATTGTCTGAGGGCTGGGAAGAAACCACTGGCCAGGCCCTGTCTGGGCAGCGTGGGACGCACCTGAGATGCCAGCAAGTGTGGACCTGGGTCAGGTACCAGTGGTTGGAGGGGGGGCAGTTATATCCTGGGCCATTCTGCCTCCTCTGCTTCTACACGCCTCACTCTCAGCCCACCATGTCTGTGCCACTCACTGTTCCTCCGGGATCTTTGCAGCCAAGGGCCCAACAGCACTTGGATGTGTTCACATTTGTGCCCCCATGTGTGTAAACATGTAGCCAAAATGCAGGTGTCACACCAGTGTGTGAACATGGTAGTGTTTGAATGTGATCATGCTTGAGTATAGTGTAAAATGCCCAAGTATTAGAGTGTGTGAGTGTGAAACACACTAGCATAGGCACACGGTAGTGTTCAAGTTTGAGTGCAAAACACTGGTGTGTGTGGTAATATTTGAGTTTGTGGGTGTGATAAAGCTTGAGTGTGTGGGTGTGATCATGTTTGGGTAAGTGTGAGACTCACAAGCTTGTGAGTGTCATAGTGTTCAAGTAGGTGACTGTGAGGGTTTCAGTGTGTGTGAAAATGTCCAAACGCGTGATTGTATGAAAACACTAAGTGTAAATGGATAGTGTTTGAGAGTGAGTGTGAAAACACCCAAGTGTGTGAGTGGGATACAGTGTGTGCAAGAATGAGAATGCTGGGTGTGAGTCAGTGTGAGCTCCAAGTGCACTGTGAGAGAACCCACGTCCCCAGGTCTAGAGGCCTCCGTGACACAAGCACACCTGGCCCCTCCCCTGTGCCCTCCGCCACACCCACATCACCCCCTCCCGGTCAGGTCCGTGCCAGAGACAAACCAGTTGGGTGACCCCCTTACAGAAAGGCCCATTGTTAACCAACATGCTTATCAGCTGGCTTGCAGGGCCCCCTCCACCGTCAGCTCCCCTGCTTTCCTGTCCCCCATCAGCTGGGGGGTGGTCTGCTGCTCCAAGGCCACTGGGGGCACCTGTGGCCAGCCCATCTCTGAGCTGGTGTCTCATCCACCCTTTTGTCCCCCTCTTAAGCCCTTAGCAGAGACTGAGACTTAGGCCTTATTCCAGCCTAAGAGGGAAACCGAGGCACACTACTCCAAAACTTGGGTGTGAGGGCAAGCGGGGTGCTGGGGTCCAGAGAAAGCCATGCCCATCTGAGGTCTTGGGCCTGGGTGGGGTTCCCTGCCCATCTCCCCCTCCCAGGGGTTGAAGCCACCAGAGTTCCAATCTCAGCTCTGTGACTTTGGGCAAGTCATGTCACTACTCTGGGCTTCAGTTTCCCCATCTGTAAAATGAGGACTCGTGAGATTGAAATGACTTAGTATGTGTTGAATTTGTAGCAGGGGATCTGGCATAAAGTAGCTGCTCATTGAGAATAAAGGGGTTGGGTTTGGGCACCTGAGAAATGTAAGGATGACCTGTTTGTTGCACAAACTTGAGAATGAAATATTCTCCCTGCAGCCCACTAGGCCCTGCACGACCTGCCCCCATCACCTCCCTGCCCTCACCTCCCCCCTCCCTTCGCCTCCTTCACTCTGTTCAAGCCACAAGGGCCACCTCCCCATTGCTTCAACAAGCCAGGCCTTTGCACATACTGTGCCCTCAGATCTCCAGGCTGGCCCAGTGTTTGTTTACAGGCCCCTATGTCCAGCAGTTCATTCTCTACGACCACCACCAACAGTAATGAAAATTGTGATATCAAATAGTGGCAACTCCTCTGGGTGACTCCACAACATTTGCTCCCAAGCACAGCCTAGCTGTGCGGCGTGTGTCGTGTCAAAGCACCCGGGTTCGAATCCCAGGTCCTTGTCTAGCTAAGTGCTATTGAACAAGCCGCTCCCTATGTGTTTTGTGCCTCCGTTTTCCCAGCTGTAAAATGGAGATACTAGTGCCTCTCTCGTGGGCTCAGCACTGGGTCTGGTACACAGCAGGCGCTTAATGAATGCCCAATGTTACTGTGTGGTGGGTGTCGGTCCTGTGCCAGCGCATTCATGGGGCGAGAGAGAGGTGCGAGTAATCATGCAGGGCTGGGCCTATGCAAATCACAGGCAAATAACTGCTCTGCCTAGCCGCAAGCAGCCTGCTCCGCCCGAGTAGCGCGCCTGGGGACGCCAGGCACCCCGCGGCCGAGCCCAGGCGCTGACCCGCGTCCAGCCCGGCTTTCAGCGCTCCGTGTAAATGTTTACACCGGGCAGGTCGCCAGGCCCCGCGCAGGCCGACACCAGGCAGCCGGTTGGGGGAATGTAAACGCGGGCTGGGGGCCGCCCAGCGGCAGGGAGCTGCTTGGACACGGTGGGGGTGGGACTGCGCGAACGTTATTAAACACCTACTGTATGCACTAAGCACGAAGCTCCCAGGCAGTCACAGCACCGAGGAATAGGTGTCCTAATGGCGGATGCTTAGGGCTTGGCGGGAGGGGGGGGGCAGTCAGTGAAGGCTTCCTGGGGGAGGCGCCGCCCTCCAAGCTGAGACTGAAAGGGGAATGGGAGTGGGGAGGGAGAGAAGAGTGCTCTGGGTGGAAGCACCGGCTTATGCAAAAGGCCTGGAAGTGGGTCGAGCGCAGCTTTGGTTCATCGCTGCCCATTTCTGGGCATCGGTTTATCTGTCTGGAGAGAAAACCCAGGCTCTGAGAGGCAGGAAGTCACTCCCAAGGACATGGATATGTAGGGAACAAAGTCTCAACCCTAGTTCCCGCCTCCCAGACTGTATTCTAAGCACCAGCTCTCTTTACCATCCTTGCCTCACAGTGCCCCCTGCTGGGAATGCCCTCATCTTTCACTTCCCCTAAAGTCACTGGGCTTCAGCCACCCAGGCTGGAATGGCCAAGCTTGGTTCAGCCTCAATACTTTTGCACTGTCTGTTCCTCCTGCCTGAGATGCCATTCTTTTCTGCCTGGCCAACTCCTAAGTTTGTTTAAGTCTCATTCAAGTCTCAACTTTCCTCAATCCTCAGGAAAACACTCTGGGACCCCCCAGATGAGGGCGGTTCCCCGTTACCCCTGGCACAGCGCCCACCCCCTCCTTGGCAGCGTTTTTCACAACCATGTTCGGTGGTTCCTTGATGAATCATGTCTGTTATTATTGACCATTAAGCAGGAGTGGTTCAAAATCAGGGGCCCGACTGTGTCCCCAGTGCCTGGCCCAGTGCCCTGTGCCCATTTGTTGCCTGACAGAGGGAGGCCGTGTGGCTGACCATCCCGTGCCCGCAGGCCGAGGATGCAGCGCTGGAAGGCGGCGGCCTTGGCCTCCGTGCTCTGCAGCTCCGTGCTCTCCATCTGGATGTGTCGGGAAGGCCTGCTCCTCAGCCACCGCCTCGGACCCGCGTTAGCCCCGCTGCGCCGGCCACCTCGCACCCTGGACGCCCGGATCGCCCGCCTGGCCCAGTGTAAGCCCTTTCCCCAGTCTTGGGTCAGATACCCCCGACACAGGGGTGGCCATACTGGTGGAATTTCAGGCAGTGGAGCTGGGCCACAGAGGCTTTTTTTAGATGGGGTGGGGGAAGGGTGCAAATCCCCCCCAACAGCCTGGCAGCGTAGGGCGGATAACTCCTGGGAACTGGGGTCTCTCGGCTCAGCTGTCACAAGGAATTAGGCTCTGGCCCTCAGGGGCCAGATGGAGATTAGACTTGGGAACTCAGCCCGGGTGGCCCTCGCAATGCAGCAGGGGTGGGGGGAGAGGGAGGCTGGACCTGAGGCCCCAGTGACCTGCCCAGGTAGACAGGGACCTAGATAGGAGAGGAAACAGAGACCTAGAAATGGTTTGAGAGAGAGCAAAGCACAGAGACAGAGACAGACAAGGGTGGGAAAAGGCAGGGAAGTAGAGAAGTGGAAATGCCCATTGGGGACGTGACCACCCGGCCCAACTCCCCACTCGCCCCTGGAGCCTGCCCTCTGCAGGTTCTGCTTGGGCCCCGACCTCATGTGTGCGCTCACATGTCCACGTGTGCTCCACGGTGGGTGACTGAGGTGTAGGCACAGGAGGGGTGTGTGCATGGCACCCGTGGGTGGGGGCATGCGTGCTGACCCACACAATCCTTCTTTCTTGTCTTCACAATGGACAAGGGTGGCCTCCGGCATGGGCTTCACTTCTGCCCCCACCATTTCCCCTAGCAGGCCGCAAAGTCCTTCCCAGGACACTGGGTCCTAGAAACCCGGGTGGGGCCCCCAAAAGCCAGTGCTCCAGGACCTGGAGCACAAAGCACAAACAGTGTAATTCACCAGGGTGGGTCTCGGTCCATGGGCGGGTGTCTGCTTGCCCTGTACCCTGTCCCTGGGCCCAGTGGTACTGGGGAAAGGGAGTGGCCCCTGATCCTCCAAAGGCCTAATGTTCTAGGCCCTGGGACTAAAGTGCTGATGGTAGAATTTCAGGCTTGGGAAGGTGGGGTTGGGGAGCAGATCTCATCTCTTTGGGTTCCAGACCCTGTGCATGTGGCAATGCCTGCTGGAGGGAGGCAGGGACAGATACACTAAAAGATTATTCACTGTTTATCTGAAATTCAAATGTAACTGGACATCTGTACTTCATCTGGCAACCCCTGCAATAACTCTCTAGATGCACATCTTTGGGTTGGGCACACTAAATGGTGGAATTTTAGGCACCATAAGTGAGCTAGGCTCAAACCTAACCCCAGAGCAGAGACAGTGCTGGCCATCTCAGTCCTGCCCCTGGGCTATAAGAACTCAGAGGAGGCTGGTCAGTCTCCTCCCACTTTGCACCCTTCCAGCTCCAGCCCCAGCAGGGATTCTGCATGCTGCATTGAGCAGACAAGGAAACTGAGCCACAGAGCAGGGCCATGCCTGAAGTTGTACAAGGCTGAGAGTGGCAGAACTAGACTCAGAAGTTGCGTTTGTCTGCTTTCTGAGATTCCCTGCGGGAACAGACAGCCCCCCAAGGCGGCAGACAGCCGCTCCTCCTCGGGCCCCCCAGTAAGCTATTTGACAGCTAGGTGCGCCAGCCTTGGGGGCAGATGGGAGCTAAACTCAGGATTTCCTCTCCCCACCACAAGCGTGACTGCAACTTGTCAGGGGCTGGGAGCCCCCTGCCTGCCATTCCAATGTCTGCATTTCTCTCCTGGGGCTGCTGAGTACAACAGGTCCTCGAATAAAATCATTTGTTTCCTTGACCGTGTTGACAAGATGCTGGAGGAACCTAACTCTTGTTTATATCAGTTAGCCTTTGGTAAAATTGGTTTTGTTACTTGTCGTTTCGCCGCAGTTCCAAGAAGCTATGGGCAATGTTAAATGAGTACTTTATTGTACTGGGGTAGGGCCAGCCTCTTGGGAAATGAACTTAGGTTATGGGACCCTGGGAATCTGTGACTCCTGGCACCTCCTGGCAACTGTGGGAGAAGAGGGCTGGACTTGGGCCAAACTTGGGCACTATATGGAGGCGGGAAGAATGCTGTCTGGGTTTGTCTTTCTCGTCTGCCACCTGCTAGTGGTGTGGTCTTGGCCGTCTCTGCTCTTTTGGATGCCCAGTTTCCTTACCTGTAACATGGGAGTGGCCCTGACAATAGCTGCTGCCACCCCATGTGGTGGGGTCCCCACACAGGCCTCACACGCAGGCCTCAGTGCCTGTTGCTTCTCTGTTCTGAAAAGTCCAAACACCCTGATTTGGGTCTCTGGATGGAGAAACTTGACTCCCACTGCATAGTGGAGCAGGAGGGTGGGGCCTTGTGAACAACCCAGAAGCTCAGGATTGTGGGGGCTTTGGGGACCTCAGAGAGTGAGCTAGATACCATATTGCTCAGCTAAAGAGTGAGGGAAGCAGCCTTCCGACACTGCACAAAGAGGGTAGTCAGGCTCTGACCCGCTCAACCTAAGGGTAGGGTCCAGAGAGGGGTGTTGGTAGAGTTAGGGGTCTAGCGTGGGGGGTCTGGATATTCACCCCTCCCAACACCAACCAGAGAGGGTGCATAGGCGGGAATATGGCAGATGCTCTAGTGCCCTAGCTTTCCCGCAAGGGGCATTTTTTGCAGCGGAACAGCGAGGGTAGGGGACTTGCTCCTACCCACCCACTCACTGATCCCCACTCCATTCTTTCCCTCCCCTGGCAGACCGAGCACTGCTGCAGGGAGCCCCAGACGCCGTGGAACTACGCGAACTGACGCCCTGGACCGGGCGGTCTCCGGGTCTGCGCCGTCGGGCGGGGCCGCGGAGGCGGCGCGCGCGTGCGCGGTCAGGGACGCGGCCGTGCGGGCTGCGCGAGCTGGAGGTGCGCGTGAGCGAGCTCGGCCTGGGCTATACGTCGGACGAGACGGTGCTGTTCCGCTACTGCGCAGGCGCGTGCGAGGCGGCCGCGCGTGTCTACGACCTGGGCCTGCGGCGCCTGCGCCAGCGACGGCGCGTGCGGAAGGAGCGGGTGCGTGCGCAGCCCTGCTGTCGTCCGACGGCCTACGAGGACGAAGTGTCCTTCTTGGACGTGCACAGCCGCTACCACACAGTGCACGAGCTGTCGGCGCGCGAGTGCGCTTGCGTGTGACCCTACCTCACCGGGCCTTGGCCAGACGGCAGCCACGCCCCACGCCCCGACGGTACCTACCGTGCTGTCAGGCAAACCCCGCGACAGACTGCCCTTGTGCAGAAGATGCCGTCGAGGCCGCGGGACTCTCGCGATAACTGTACAGAGATAAAGTGTGGAAAATCGAGCTGGGTTGTGATTCTGAGCACCGGGGATGGGGTGGGGGGTGGGGTGGGGTGCGGGTGGGGTATCCATTGGAGAAACATGAGCGGTTGTGGGGGCGGGGAGGTGGCACCATCTCCGCTGGGAAAAGGGGGATGGGTTAGGGTACCACCTGCTGGATGGTGGGAAGATCCCGTTTGCTTTGGGGGAAAAGGAAAGATGCAAAGAGGGTCTTGTTTCCCGGGTACAAAAGGGAAAGGGGGGTGAATGGGGGCAATGCCTGCAGGGACTGTCCTCCCCACATCCTTGCAGGTCCCTGTACTCATCCCCAGCGTGTCCCATCCCCACCTCCCAGCAAGATGTGCTTCTGGGAAGGGAAAGTGGAGCCAAAATGTAGATGAGGAGACTGAGGTCCAGGTGGTCCCGGGCCTCCCTCACCCTTTGGGCCTCTACCAGAGTGAACTCTGAGCCACTATCTCCTTTCACTAGCTAAAAATACACGTGCGCTGTCCATCTCCCTGTGGGGATAGGTCTGGGGCGAGCGCCAGCCCCGTCCAGCCCGAAACCGGCGCCTGTTGGGGCAGAGCCGGTCCCGAGGGATCTAGGTCCTGGGCCCATAAAAGCCCTGGCCGGAGCTCCAAGGGGGGATTTACGACGAGTCCCCGCGGAGGATGGAAAATGCGCAGCGCGGTGTTTAGATTTGCCCGCGGTGTCACCTTGATGTTTGGCAGGCCCAGGACGGCCCCAGGGTGTTGAGTTCCCAGAGCGCAGCGGGGGGATCGGCGGGTCCCACGCTCTGAGGAGGGGCGGGGGTGGGAGCGGGCGCTGGGCTGGCATATGAAAGAAAGACCAGAGGCGGGGACCCCTTCCTTCCTGCCTCTCATGCTGGGGGCTCCCAAGGGAACACCTCATCCCTCCTTTATTGTTCCCCTAGATTGGCCCTGCCCGGCTTTCCCACACATCTGAGTTCAGGACCACCCTCTAACCACCACATCGTTTCCAGACCCAGTCTATACCAGAAGCTAGAGGGCTTGAATCAGAAGCTTCCCCCAGGGAGGATCACCTAGCCAGGCTGAATATCCCCCAGCTGCCTGCTCCCCAGCCCCAAGGTTGCAGCTAGAGAAGCTCAAGGCAGCTAACAGGCAGGGGACTTCCGGACAGCCCTGAGAGCAGGGCTTGGTAGCCAGGCCCCAGCCCATGCGTGGTCTGTTTGGAAGGCAGTTTCAGGACCAAGGCTGGCTGGGATCCCCTTTTCCTGCAGTATTCTGACTCTGAAATTTGGGGTGGTGGAGTCCTCCACTGTTTGGGCTGACAGCCCAGCTGTGGCCAGAGTCCCCAGGCACTGCTGAAGACAAGCCTCAGTTTCCCCATCGTAGATGACCCTGAGCCTCAGAGGGAAGTTGCTGAGCCCAAGACACACAGTAGGAAAATTGGCCTTGGAGCTTGAAAATCGTGGCCCCTGAAGCTTGGCTGCCTGGCTGCCTGGCTGCCTCTGTGTGTGTGTGTACCCTCCCTGGTCCTCCTGGGACCTCGGTCTCCCCCAGATACAACATCCCAACCACAGGGCTCTGGTTTAGCCCGCCAAAGAATTGAAACGTAAACAGAGCTGCCCCCGCAGACTCCAGGGCCTGGGGTTCTCAGCAGCACACGACCACCCCCCCCCCGCACGCACACACACACACACACACTCACACGGGCACAGAGACTGCCACCCACATGAGGCTTAGATAGGATCACACACAGACCCACATTTCACATACTCAGCTACCATTTACACTTGGAACTGCACACTCCGAGAGGGGCACCCTGAAAGTCACTACTCACCCCCCAAAAAAGAACACAGGGTCACGCATTCTGTCACACCCGGCAACGCACATCCACGCTGATGGTCATGCTCTAAGCCAGCAGTTCTCAACTTTTCACAGGGGTCGCCTAAGACCATCGGAAAACATATTTTCGATGGTCTTAGGAAGCGAGACACCGCTCCTCTATCCATCTCCAGGCCCACATGCAGATATGCCCACATACGAGTACCCGGCGACCCCTGTGAAAGGGTCGTTCAACCCCCAAAGGGGTCGCGACCCACAGGTTGAGAACCGCTGCTCTATACCCTTATACTGTGTAGAAAGTCCCCTTGTGCCAGCCCTGCCCCACGTTGACCCCAAGACAGCCTGGTCTCCACTTTCTAGCCCCTCAGGACCATGACCTACTCACTCTGCCCATGGATCTTGACCTTGAGGGGGTTTCTACTTCTGGACATTTGGGGCCAGACCATTCTGGGTTTGGGGGGCCATCCTGGACCCTGCACGCTGCTGAGCAGCATTCCTGACCCCCCACCCTTGATGCTATCAGCCTACCTACAGTCATGATGATAACAAATGTCCCTAGACATCACCAAATGTCCTCTAGAGAGCAGTCACCCTGGGATGAGAACTGCTCTTCTAGAGTAAGGAAGGACACATCTGTTTCTGTTAGAGCTTTCCCATCTGGAAAATAGTGCCAATATTGCCTTCCTGCCTGCCCCACAGGCAGTTACACCCGCAATAAAAATTGTAAGCAAATCCATCAGAACTATCACCAGTGGGCAGGACCCTGAAGCCAATTTCCCAGTGGTGAGTGCCTTGGTGGGTGGGTTCCCCAGGGGCCAAGGTCCCCAGCAGGTGAGACCCCCCCCAAGTAGGTGAAGCCCTGGTAGGTAAAGTCCGCAGAGCCCAGATTCCTCACAGCAGAGGTGCCCAGTAGGTAAAGTCCAGGTAAGTGAGATCTCCAGCAACCAAGATCCCCAGCAGGTGAGGTTCCTGAAAGCAGAGGTGGCTGGCAGGGGAGGCCCCAGCCTGGCTGGCTCATGTGAAGCAAGAAGCTCTCCTGGGGCAACACCTGGTAGCTGGACTCCTGTGGCAGCTGCCAGCAGGCCTTGCAGAACGTCAGGATCGAGGCCACAGTGCCTCCCACCAGCGAAGTAACTCAGATAGTGGGTGTGGTCCTTGTCTAGCGCCAGCAGATACAGGGCCAGATCCTTGGGGCTCTGGAAGTCGTGGCGGAGGGTGAAGGTGTCGGGAGATAGGAACTGTTTGTAGTTCCTCCCTTGGAGCCCAGGCCTGCACAGCCCAGCACCACGGCATTCTTTCACAGCTTCTCCGTGATGTCACCTGGATGCAAGGAATTCTCGAAAGCCAGGTAAAACTTGTACTGGGACAGCCGCTTGATCATGACCACCCAGGGTGGCAGCTTGTGGGAGCGCCCGTAAGTATCCACTTTGAGATGAACTTGAAGCATCTGGTAGTACCGCACTCTGACCGAATCCTCCCTCCAGTTGGATACCACCCAGGCCACCAGCTTGGTCTTGGCCAACAGGTTGACTGGTGCATTGGCTGGCTGGCTGGGCCATGGCTCGAGCCAGGGTCTGGCATGAAGATGTCTGAGTCTCTTGTGGCAGGACATGGTGAGACTGAAGTACCCATCCAGGGCCTTCGGTTGTGGGCAGTGGCCAGGTGGTTCCATGTTGAACCAGACCCAACGCTGGCTGAGCAGCCTCGGGGAAGGCAGGAGTTATGCCTTTGGCCAGTAGCTGATCTCTCAGTGATGCATGAAGACTGTGTTCTCCCGAGGGTACAGGCTGTGGTTGATGGTCAGCTGGCAGTCAGCTGTTCTGGACCACAGCCCTGAGCAGCAGGACAGAGCCACGGGGATGTTGAATGGCCACATCCACAGCAGGAGAAGCAGGGGCGAGTGGGCAGGGGACCCCCCTGGAAGACACCGGCCCTGCCCACCCATTGGGAGCTGTGGTGAGAGAGTCCACTGTGGTGGCCCCCGACTTAGGGGGCCACATGGGCTTGACGTGGGACACATGCAGGTAGGAGAAGAAGCATAGAGCCAAAAGCAGCTGCGGCAGCAGCCCAGGGAGGTAATGGAGCCAGGACATCGTGTCTTGGTTCACCCATGGGTCAGAGTAGCTGGGAGGAGGGAGAGTGGAGACAGCGTTATTGATAAAAATAGTAATAGCCCACACCCGGGGGCACACATGGGTTACCAAAGTTAGCATTCATTAGTCCTGAGGTAGGCACTGTTTTGATTCCTGTTTTACAGATGAGAAAACTGAGGCTAAGTGACTCAGGGAGAGGAAACAGCAGAACGGGGATTCCAACAAGGACAGTCTGGCTTTCTCCTAGCCGTTTGGCAACATGACCTCTTTACCTGGGGAGGGGTCCTCAGGAAAGACGAGGTGGGATAGTCCCAACAGCTCTCAGGTCCCACCTTGACCCTGCTTACCCAGACTGTTCCTCAGGCTGGGGAGAAGGCAGAGCTGTTTACAAGAGGCTCCCAGTGCCCTGGAGTTGAGGCTTAAATCTGGGGCTCCGTCTCAGAGGGGTACAATGGGATTGGGTTTTGAAGGTTGTGTAAGAGCTCACCAGGTGGAGTAGGAGTCAGGGAAAAGGGTATTTCTGGAAGATGCCATGCAAAGCCCTGGAGGTGAAAGACAGCCTGGTTTGTTTGCAGGGAGAGCAAAGGAAGGGCTTAGGGATGCCAGTGTGAATTTGATTTTATATTTACTCAGGGTTTCACATTCACTACATACTCAAAGATAGCCCCTCTGGTTCTGATTCCCCTCCATTCCGGGTCCTTCCTGTTCCTGTAGGCGGTCCCAAAGTCCCCCCAGACCCAAACTACTGAGTGGAAATCTAAAACCTGGGCTCTGCTCTTCTTTACTTTGTGCAGCCCTGGAGCCACGCATTTCACAGATGAGAAAACTGAGGCCCAGAGATATGTCTGTCTCTTGCCCAAGTCCACACACCTCGAGCCAATATGATCCAGAACTTCAGCTCTCCCCTCTTAATGTAACCCCAAACTTCTCTCCCACTTTGCAGGTGGAGCTCAAATCTACAGCCTGGCACTGTCCAATAGAATTTTCTGCGATCAGGGAACTGTTCTATATCCGCACCCTCCAACTCAGTGGCCACTAGCCTGGTATGAATACTGAATCCTTGAAATATGTCTGTTGTGTCTGAGGAATGG